GGAAAGTGGATCTCGCGAGCCAGATTTGAGGATCACTGATCTAAATGCTAGCAAAATGGAATCCTTGCATGACAAACCAACAACTGTCAACTGCTTATGAAACTTAATATGGTGATTAACTTGAATTATTTAAGTTAAATTATTCAAGTATTCAAATGCCACACTCCTAGTAGACACCTGCTTCCTATTCACTGGCTGCCCTATGAATGCACAAAACGACTGACAGGCAGAAAATGCTAAAATGGCTAAACAAAAGAATCTGACCGTGGTCAATTATTTGAAGTTTACCGAATATACGACTGCCACAGAGACAGATGTGATGGTTTAGGAACACTAATTCAGTGAAATGTGTCAAGTAAGAGTGTCATTTTATTAAACAAAATTGCTTACTGCACCTTTAATAGGAACTTAATCATAAATGCACATGGCTGACATCCTAAGATTTTAATTTAAGTAGTAGATCTAAAAGGAGAAAAGCTTTTAGTGGTATGTACAAGTGATGCTATTGTCTTGAGTTTCGAGCATCTCCTGATATCTTAAAATCTCTTGTGACATCATGTTTCTTCCCGATAAATTTTGTGTAATGCCCCACTAGTACATTCACCATTTTAAAACCATTCGGTTAATTGTGAAAACATTCATCCTCTATGACCTCATATCTCTGTGGCTACAATTTTTTCAAAGTTCAGGTCAGAGCTATGGCTGTCCATGTCCATCTCTGTCCGACTGTCCATCTCAGCCGTTAGCTCCCTCAGAATCTTCTCCAGGTCCTTGTTCTTTCTGTACATCTGTAGATAATTGTACTGCAACTGCTTTTGGTATCTGATTACTTTGTCTTTCTCTTTATTCCATGTTTGTCTCTCCTGCTGGAAGCTATACATCATCTTATGTTTCTTTTGCTTCTCTTCCTTCAGTTCCCCTCTCAGCCTCTCTACTTCCTTCTGTAGGGCATCCAAGTTTGCAGTCCCTCCATTATGATTCAGTGTTTTACTGGCACTTGTTCCATCCTGGGCTTTCGATTTGGCTTGACCATTCCCAAAAGCCTCCATCCGGGCTTGGCTTATCTGCAGTTGCAGCTGTTGTTCCTCAACTTCAGCTCTCATGGTCATTAGCTGCTGTTGCTCCTCTTTGGCCATTGCTAAGTCCTGCTTCATGTTCTTGATGTCCATTTCCAGCAAGTTCACCTTCTCCCTGAGGAGGTCGGCTTCATTCTTCTTTCTTTGAAACTCATTCTTAGACACCTTTTTCAAAAGAGATATCAAAGTCAGTCATATTTGATGGTACGTCATGCAGTAGCAACTGCAAGTTAATCTAATATCAATGAACACTGACCTCAACCTCAGCGCTTCGCTGGTGAAGTGCTTCCTCATACTCCTTGATCTTCTTTTCCAGTTCTTCCATCTTACATCTGGACTCCTTCAGAGAGGCTTTGAGACTGACAATCTCACTGAGTTTGTTTCCAACATCGGCCTGGGAGTCCCTAAGTTGCTGTTTTAGCAGAGAAATCTCACCTGACTTCTGGCACACCTACAAAAATAACACAAATTATGAATGTGTTAAGTAGTTTTTGTAACAATTTTGATCCCAATTATCCCAGCTGTTCATCTTTTAAATTGACCTCTTTATCAAACACAGAACACAGATTTTCATTGTATCCACATTTGTCATAATACAACAATAAAATTTTATAGACTGACCTCCCACTGAGTCTCTTCTAGAGTGGGTGCTAGGTTTTTCTGGCTCTCATAGATTCGGAGTCGGCTTTCTGCAGTGTCCCGGTCATGATTAAGCTGGTCCACCTCCTCCTGCAAACGTTCCTTGTCCTGTTGAAGTTGTATCACCTGAAGCTGTAATAACTGTTGGGCTCTCAAAGCCCTCTGAGACACCTGCAGGTTACACAAACCATCATTAAGATCTGCCTGGATAAATTTGAATAGCGTATTTGGTTGACCATCAAGGTAAGATAAGGTACTCTTATTGGTTTTGGAGTAACACTAAACTATATGTTCACCTCTTCAAACCTATGAATATTGTAAGCAACTTACTTGACGGAGTTTTGTAGAACAGCGTTGTTTCAACCCCTCCATCTCCTCAGCACAGTAGCGTTGCTTCTCCTCAAATAGATGACATGTGTCTGTCTCCTTCTCCTCAAGGCTTGTTTGTAACTCTGCCAGGTCGGTTTCACGTTCTAGAAGTTTCTGCTCCAGCTGCTGTATCAGTGATTCATCCATTGAAATTGGTGATCGGACACAGCCCCCAGAAGATGATGGTTTTGTTGGGATTTGCTCTGAAATTGTAAATCTCTGTTCCAGAAGCAGCTCTTGGTTTCCAGAGAAATCCATCTTTGGCTCGCTGGATGAAACCGTCAGTGCTGAAGCAGTTATTTCTCTGTTCAGACTTATTGCTGCTGCCACACTTTCACTTAGGACACCAATGGATCTTGTATTGCCATTTGTCGACTCACTGTTTGTTTCACTAAATCCTTTGGCCAAACTGTTTCCACCATTAGTCCCACTACACATCCAACTGGTTCCAGAGTTTCCATTCATCCCTGCTACACCCCCCTGTGGTTTCTGAGATGTGTCCATGTTTTGGGCAAGGCATCCATGGCGTGCCATGTGGTTAGTTGAAGTGCTTAGGTTGTCCATCTGGCTGCTGCCACTGATGCTGTGAGTGGGCAGGCTGGACATAGAGTTCCTTCCAGAGTCAGAGAAGGTACCAGAATTTGTCTCCAGCTTGGGGTCCTGAAGATCTTTTAGCCTGTCTATAGGACTAATTCTCTTGCCAAGGATAGTGCTCAAGTTGTTATGAGTCTCCACCGAGGAACTGGTGCTTCGAGGAAGAACTGGTTTGAAGGCGGTGGGTCGAATGAAAACATTCTCTATACTCTAAAGAGAGAAGACAGAAAAAGATAGATCAGTGTTTTTGGGATTTGAAGTGCACTGTAACCAATTGATCATTCACTTTATGGCAGGACACTCTCCATCTTAAAACCTATTGATCAGATGCTCTCAAAGTAATTACTCTCATAACTGCCAGGACATTACAACAAAACATTTTGCATAAATGATTGATCCACAAGACAATCTCAAGACAACCCTTTCCTTCTTTCTTATTCCTCTCCTATTTTCCCAGTCATTTCCTCTTACCGATGGTAGCATGTTTACCCCATGGTTTAGCATTAACTTCCTGACCTAGTAAAACTGGGCTCATTTTCCTAGCTAGATTCTTCATAAATTAGACAGTTCAGGGAAAGAGGTGCTTGCCTGCTTGCAAGTGCCACACCGCCATTGGACCGAATCTCTGGAGAGATCAAGGCATTCTTACCTCGTCAATCTGGAGGTTTAATTAAATGGAGCAGACACCGCTAAGCTCTTGGTGAAAGTGTCAGGGGCTGGTGGGGATTACTTAACATCAACTATACTTGACTGTTGTTTGATTTTGTGTGATAACAATGTCTGGGGGATGGGCCATCTTTTGGGTTTGGCTGCTTGAATGTGAACTGAACATGCTTCCTAAACAGACATGTTGCTTTGTGTACATGTTTAATGGAATTGTACTGAGTTTTTATAGGAGTGAAATACTACCATAATACACAACAATATAGGCAGTGGAGAAATTAAACTCTTGACATGTTGTTATTTTGGCAATAAAAATAAACTTTTTGTAGTTCAAACCTTGCTTATTCTCTAGCTTACTCTAGTTCTGTTACCTTTTCTAGTTTTCCAGACAGCGAAACTAATTCTGGTGGCCCTCCTCTCCTGTCCACCTCATTGTCCGTCTCAGTTGTTCTTCCTTGACTGTCTTCAGCTGTATTAATATTAGCAGTTTGGGGCTTGTTGCTGACCTTGATGTAAAAGAAGTCGTCGTTTTTGCCTGAATGATAGCTGACTTTTGAGTTGTTGTTGGTGCTGCAATGATCCTGAGTGAAGCCATACTTCAGAAGGCCATCCAAGCTACGGCCTGTTTTCTTAGACTGAAGCCCCTTTTTGAGTTTGTTTTCAGAGCCTTTGCAGTGTTTGCTGTGGAGGCTATGGCCTGATATCAAACTGCTGACACTACCCATGTTTCCTGGGACATCTGGAGAAAGCAGGTAGTGGTCTTGGTGGTGGCAGGTGTGTAATTACAGAATTTTAATGATGGAGGAAGGTCTGACGGACTCATAGCCTTGTGTGGAGATCCTTCTTATTCTCATTTGGGAAACCTGGTAAGACATGGATTTTAAGAAATGTAGTGAGATGTCTCCTGTTGTCATTAGAGCAGTATAGCACCAGAGTCTATGCAGAATTTGTCTTAATGTTTACTTTACTTAACGTTCACTAGGTCAGCAAACAGGAACTACAGTAAGTTTTGTTGGCTCTTTGCCTACATGCGATACGATAGGGGCAGACCTAATGGCAGTTACCCTGAATATCCTGATTTACAATATGGATACCATACTAAATGCACGCTTTGAACAAGTACCAAGAGCACCCTCCTCTTTGACAAACAAAGGCAAATGCAAGCTTGAAATTAGTGTGACTAGGTCAAACATGTATTCATATTACTTGGTCAGTAGGTCAAAAGACCTGCCAATTACTTTTTTTTCTTCTTGTCAGGCTACCAAAATACAATGAGTATGTTTACATGCACTTTGAGTTTGATTTCTAAAATTACTAAATTAACATCTTTTTAAAAAATCATGTAAAAAATCAGTCCAGTCCAATGTACCAGTCCAATTTTTGTGAAGTTACATTTGGCCTCATGTGCATTGTTTATTTGATCTTTCAAATGTATATTAAATATGTAATCCTTTAAAAATATTTGATTTGCTATGTACTGTATAATTGGACAGACTTTAGCTCGAACATAATGGTACATGTAAACATACTTAACGTTTTTGCATATTTCATTACATCAAACAAGCATTATTTCGAAAAAAATCAAAAACAAACATGTTCCAACTTGTTTATGAGCTAACTTACAGCACATATTAGCGTACATATATAAGGTTTCATATGTTGGGCATAATATTGTAATCATGGGAGCCCACTGGGAGATGGGACCTGTCAGTCACCTCATAAAAGTACAAGAGTACCAAGGGTCTGTCACCAGCTACTCAATCTTCTTTTATGATTCATATGATTCTAAAGCATATATTACACATCCATAATCAACACATCATACCTCCCATCTGTCTTTCAGAGCAGATAGCGAGGGGCTTTATGAACAAAAGACCTGCCATGATCATCACACGTGGCTTTGTATAACTGGCCTAATTGTTATGGCTGATATGTTAAAGGCTTATTAGCTAGAAAGAACACAGCAAATATGCCTGCTGTTTAATATCACATTATGAATTCATGCATTCCAAAGAAATGTTCTTTTTATGTTATTTTGTTGTAACTTTGCTGCCTTGCAGCTGCTTTTAGATTAGAAAACCATATATGCAGCCACATCTGTGTTTGTGTCTAATCTCTCCCTATTCCATAAGTTTCGCTGTTGCATGCTGTTTCAAAATCGAATAAAACGGACATAGGGGTATATATTAATGACCTCTTAAACACTGACTCAACTGTTTATACTCTGTTATCATCGCCAGTAGGATGATATTTCACAAACAACTCAATTATCATTCATGTGGTTTTTATTCCGCATGTGCATTAATTAAATATGATTATTCAATACTACTTTTGCATTCTTATAAATAAACACATCTGTTTCAGCAGAAGGACTTAATGGCTTTAGGCAGCCCTTTGGCAGTCCCTTCCAATGAAAAGCAATCTCATCAATGTCTTTGTTTAAGATAGTCACACATATTTTTTCCTCGAGGCATGCCAAGCAGTAATGTAATGCTAATAATCTTCTTTTATGCAGCACTGCAAATTAATGACAATCCTGGATTTTATTATCGATTCAAATGTTCTGTTACAACACATAGTACATAGTCGTCATATTTTAAAAATGCAATGAATCCCATTTAAAATAACTCCCATAAATCACTGGAACAAGCAAACTGTTCTTGTCAACCCATGGAGGGAGTATTTTCTGTGATGAGTTCAAATAATAATAAAAATGAACATTCATGAGAAGCAAGCTGTATGCACTGCATATTATTTTAGTGTTACTGCATTATTTGTTTATATAAAAGGTACAAAACAGTCAGCAAAAGTCAAGTCGGACATTGCATTGCGCTTTGATGCATGCACAGACCATGTGGTCCAGGTAAACAATGTAAGTTGGACCGTCTCATTGACTGTCTGGCATCAGTAACCCAAAATCACCTCTTTTTACTCCGCTATTACTATCAAGTTCAAAGGCTTACCAGAATAAAATAGGTGACAAAATGACACTTACTCTTCAAACAGATAAATCCACAGACACTGTGTTTGTCCAATCTGAATCAAATCTCCTTCGCATGCTCTCCGTGGCAAGTCAGAATGTGTTTGTCCTTGAGTGAACCGCAGAATACTCTATAGTCTGCCTGTAGACAAGAGTCTACCATGCAAAGGGGGTGGATCTTATCACCATTCACCAGTTTTTTTCCCCCTCATATCTTTTTTTGGAATAACCGACATGCAGATGTTGCTGGGAGACGGGACCCCAGTGTCCCCTGAGGTCCCTTGGGGCAGAGACCATTACACCTCTTTACATAAGACGTGTGCCGCTAAAGAGATTAACTCACTGCTGCTTACAATGAGCTGCGTGCCCCTCTCTGTCACACTCACTTTCTCTCCCGCTCTTTCTCTGTCGTACACATACACCCTAACACTAACACCTTAACATAATGATAATACACACAAAAAATGCACGTTTTGTGACTTTCACTCATTTTTTATCGTTATCTTTTGCTGTTTTCTGTTCAAACACACACACACTTCTCCCAGTTGGCTCCCTTTGCTGCCCTCCCCTCCTCTCAAAACTGCCCTGCACCCACTCTGAACAAACACCCCTCCAGGAAAAGAAAGAAAGAAGAGCTTGATGTTCCCTCCTTCCGTCTGTGTCTTTGTCCACTGAAGTGTGCCTGTTTTGTGTGAGGTTCAGTGAGCTTGAACATTTATTTAGGCTGAGTGCTACTTTTACACAAAATAAATGACTCTCTAACTACCTCTCAAAAAGAAGTGTGTTGCCGTAAAGTGCATGAGGTGTCTTTTTGTGCAGATGTTTCTGTTTGTATAAATCAACATTAAAATGCCAAAGCAGGCAAATATTTTAATAGCCTTAAAGGAACACGCCACTGTGCAGCAGGTGCAATGATATTACGCAGCGCCTGAAAATAGTCCCCAGCTAGGTAACTTCCAATAAGCCTATTTTCATGCGCTGCGTAATATCATTGCGCCTGCTGCTGTTAATAAAAGGTTTGGTCACACTTTAGTTTGGGGACCAGTTCTCACTATTAACTAACTATTGAATGCAACTTGCCTCAATAAACTCCTAATTTGCTGCTTTAATAATTAATTTAATAATTAATAGTTAATAAGGTAGTTGTTGAGTTTAGGTATGGCGTAGGATTAAGGGATTTATAATAGCAGGGGCGCTGTAACTAAACTCACAGCTTCACAAATAAATGTTATAATTAATTCATTCAAATAAATATGATATTATCGCACTATTTCATTTGTGTGTCTGATTTGAAGCATGCAGAATGCTAGAGCTAATAAGCCGTAACTGGCGAAAATAAGCGTAATTTTTACCCTTCCAGTAAATGTTGCGCTGCAAACATCATTAACAACTTTAACTTGTCACTGCTGGCAAATGACCATGGTATATGCGAGATAATGCATGGCTAGCTGTGCATTAAACGATTTTAATTCACTCTCCGGAGGCAACCACCCGACGTGAAGTGAGTGAAGCCTCCACGTCATGCATTAAAATTGTTTAATACACAGCTAGCCGCGCATTATCCCTTACTTAAAGTAGTATTTATAAGTGCAGCGCTACTTTGCTTACAGCGGTAACCAAGGAAACGTTATGTTGCTGCTGTTCCATAAGCGCCACCTGCTGTCAGAGAGTGAATTTGTGCTCTTATGCAGCCCGTCTGCTGTTTTTGTTTCATTCAGATGTTTTATATAGCATAGTTTCACAAAGCTGAAGTCAGATTTTGCTTCAAATTTTGAAATCTATCTATCTATGCAGGTTTGGAGTAAGAAAAGTAAACATTATAAGATATAATTCCTGAAAATAGGTCTTAATATTTACAATATTTGCAAATGTATCTTGTTTTAAGGATGTTTTTTACTTGAAAATGAGAAAAAAAGAATGTTCACTTCAAAATGGTAATTATGGATTTGTACAATATAAATTCAATTCAGAACATTCGTTTTTAAGTCCACTTGTTTGGATTCTATTCAAGGATTTTAAAGAAATTATCATAAGCACTTTTTTCCCAACAATTGTTTTAAATTCTTGTTCTAAAGTCGTCACATAACTGTCTCTGAAAACGATAAAAATATCTAAGAGTAAACTCAAAATGTCATAAAAACCACTACACAGATATTGTATTGCTCTGCACCCAAGTTTTTGCATCTGTGTACATTCATCTGAAGCGCAAATTCAGCACCGTGGGGACCAGAACAAAGAAGGCAGACTTTCAGATAATCAATCTGGCTGGGAAACTCTATCCCAACTCTGCGGATGCATCCCTTTGTCCAAAACAGCAAGGTTGGAAGAGTTGTGTTGTTTGTAGGGAACATTAGATTAGCAAAACATTTTAAGTGCTAATCTTGAGGGGGAAAAATGCTTTTTTTAAAAGGCCTTAGTATGGTTTTGTCACCCCACGTCCCTTCTGAGTATTCATTTCATTGCACCCCGACAAGATGCAATTTTAGGGGTGAAGTTTGATTTGGCAAGATGTTAGCAGAAGGCATGGTATTGATCCTTCAGATGCTCTTTGTAAGTGCTTAGTGGAGGGATCAGTGTAATCAATATGCAAAAACAGGCTGTAGCCGTGGACAATGGACTGGCACATTTGCAAGTGTGTGAGGAATCAAAGGTCGCCCAGTCTACTGCTGTGGCCCCTCGGGACAGGGGGTACAGACAGCACATTGAATGCGTTTCTTTAAATTATGAATGTGGATTTAAGTGTCTAGGAGTTCCCAGAGGAGTTGTTGTTTAATATGGTATCTTGCTATGAAAATGAGAGGGCAGCAGTGTAATAATGAGATATGCATATATGCATAATGTCATAGGCCCGTATTGGTCACTTCAGAGTAGTACCACTTGATTTATGACATCTTCAGTTGGATGCAGTTCTCAGTCTCAATCGGGCGACGACTGATGTCATATGTGTCAGATGACTATTGTGTAAAAATAAGAAATCTCCAGTTGACTAAAACAGTAAGTTTTAAACTATTTTTATTAAATTATTATTTTGTTTTTTAATATAAATAAAATATAATAATATATTATATCATTATTATATAAAATTATGAATTTATTAAGTTTATTTAATTATTATTTTTCCATCGCAGTGCATTATGGAATTGCCTTATCCATGGATACATGTATTGCTGCCTACTTTTTGCGCACATGATGCCTTAAAATGTTATTTCTGAAAAGCGGCCCACTCTTTTGGGGCAGAGCTGTGATTTTGGAACAGTGTATAAACTAATGAAGTGAGCTAAGTTTCCCTATCAAGTGGGAAAATGATAAATATCTTTACTGATGTATGAAAAGTGTATATAAAATGGGTGAGATATCAGCAAACAGACATTTAAAAATAAAATACAAAATATGGCATCCCTTTCAAAGTTAAATCAAATCGATTGAAACGTCCCGGCTCAGCTTTTGGCCTATAGAATAATCTATCAACTACGCTCTTAAAATAAATGTTATAAAAGTTTTTTTCCCCCCCAAATTGATGCCATAAAAGAACATTTTAATAATCAGAAGAACCCTTTTCCACTACACACTCTTAAAAATAAAGGCTATTTACTGGATTTGATGGTTCCATGAAGAACCTTTACTTCAATAGAACTTTCCATTTATAAAAAGGATCTTTTTTAGTGGAAAAATTATGTTTTAAGAGAGTTTCCATGGATGTTAAAGATTCTTCTTCACTGAACCATAAATGCCAATAAATTATCTTTATTGTGAGTTTAGCTGGAAGTTTATGATTTGTGAATTACATTTAATGTCTATATAATAACTGACACTTTGCCCTATACTAGAGAAGATCTTTTGAGATTCATTTTCTGATTTTGACCTTTGAAACCCTGGTGCTCGTTCAGACACTATTGTAATCACCCAGCAGTAGCACACATGATTTACAGTTTGTTGGAGAGTAGGTAATGCAGACATTAGACAGCCGGCTTTGGCTCTTCATGCTCTCGGCTGTTGTTTCATTGTTCTCAGAGAATGATATGACCTAATCATACAGTCACTGAGCTGAGCTCAGCGGGAGCCGCGACAGAGCATGTGTGCGGGAGGGGCTTGCCACTAATAGATGCTTAGATGTTATTGAGGTGGAAAGTCGAGCTGCTTTAATTGGCCATGAAAGACCTTTATCACAGACAGTGGGCCTCTTTTGAGAGTGTATGTGTGTGTGGTTTTGTTCCCCTCACACGTTCCACTTGTTTGTCAACCTATGCGGGACAAAGACGTCCTATGAGAAGTGTGACCAGCAGACGTTATCCAACGCATGGCCAATCCATTACTGCATGCATGCATCGAGACTTGGTTTGGGCTGTTGTACCGTAGAAGATTTACTGCAGTCTAAACAAAGCGTACACTGCTGCATTTTACCACACCTGCGACTGCCAGATGGCTCCCATAGACTTACATTTGCACCGTTAAGATTCTGATTTTTTTAATATATAAAATAAGTGTCCCATAAATCCTTATCTAGATGATATTGATCTATAGAAAATTACAATAATGAGACTGTAACTGCACATGCAAACAGCACCTTTAGTGTTTGATTGCAACATTATAGTCACTGATGCCTGTATACTGGGAAATTTACTGACCAGTCATGAGGTTTACCACCAAAGGTTGCACAATAAAAAAATAAAATAAAAAAACAGTCGAAAACGGCAACAAATTGATACTGATATCATGAAAGTTTAAAAAAAATCTAAAAAAGTTTTGGAACATGACACTCACTCACTGTAACTCAATAAAATAACACTAAAATCACTGACACAGTTCTGACAGGTGATTGCCAGGAAATAGTGAAACGTTATTACACTTTTAGGGACTGATCAGACCTGTCTATAGAGTTGTATGTGGCTGGTGTGAATATAGTATATGTACTGGAGAGCAGCCAGGCCTCGGTGTCCCGTGGGAATAATGTTTCTCAGTCACACAGTCGGCTATGTGCCATAAGATCATTATATTGCTGCTTTCTCCCAGCACTCTGTATGAACACGTGATAATTAGCTGAACTGATAGTAACTTAATTGCACTATGAATTCATGCGTTTTTTTTTGCACAATTGAATGATCTGT